TAAATTAGATAATGGGTTCTGAATAACTCGTGCAAATTAGTGAAGTAAATTTGATGGGTGTAAAAAAATAAAATTGTTGAATTCGATTATAATGCTATTTTGTTGAACCCTTTTGGGAAATTTACTTGGATAATAATATGGGTATAGGGGTTATTCAAAGATTGATCGGAATGTTATGAAAATGTAAAATCTGGGAAATGTTAATTTATCTGTTGTAAATTCTGTGATTAGAATTCAATTTTAGGGTTCTGGGATGAATTTATTAGTCCTTATTTAATTTTGGCAATTTCTGTTTTCTGTATGAGATTCTATTCAAAGGTGCATTTTTAAATTTTGATGCTTTATATGGCCATTTAAATGAATGGAATGGAATGGACTGAGTTTGGATACTAGAGATTAAGTGAATTAAGTTGCAAAGTTTCTCAATGAGCGATGCACTACAATTTCAAAGCCTTTTTCAACAGAGGCGCTTGCTTGTCACTGATCTTGATAGGTGCAATAGTTGTGCTATTAGAGGATTTGTAGTTTATTTGGGTGGATTGATATTAGTATAACCTCATAAGCTTGAGTGTTATAGCTGCTCAAGTATGTTGTAATTCTGGTAAAGCTCCACTTGAAAGGTCTTAGTGTGCTTTGTTAGAGGCAACTGATTGTCAATCGCTAAATGCCTGCATATGGAGTATGTTCTATCTATTGATTAATGGAGGAGTGCGAGTGGGAAGTCCAAATACTTGAACATTTAGTGTCCCATGACACTTTACTTTTTGGAGGTTTTAGATTAGGTTGGTATGAAAAATATCAAAATATTTGCAAATGTTTTGGTTAGTAGGAGTTAGGGATATAGAAACAACCACGTACATAGTCTATATTGGAAATTTGGGATTATGATGCTCACTTAAGCTCTGCTTTCATCTATCCTTTTTGAGGAGTAGGAGTGTTGAATTAGTTGAAGTGGCAGAAGAGACATTGCATTTGCGATGTTCTGTAAAGATCTCACAGATGTGTTTTAGTTGTGGGACGCTTGTTTACAGTGTTATTGTGTTAACTTTGGTTAATACCATGGTGATTAATAAAGACCATAGATAAACTCAAACGCTTAAAAAATCCGTTATATTTGCACCTAACATCTCTAGGCTGTGATTTGTGAGATGGAAGGGCTTCATGCATCTGAGATTTAAGGTTAAATTTTGTAACCAAGCCCTAGTTATTTGTCAATCACTTGAGCGTCTCTATGTCAACACAGAAGGCAGCAAAAAATTTCTGTACATGAAAAAGCCAACTAAGAGAAAAGGACTAGAAGATTTCTTGCCCTGGGTATGGCAACCTGGCTGGCAGCACTGCAGCTGTGTTTCTGCTCACATTGATAAGGCATACAATGTACACTGTTGTCAAGTCTCTTAATCAATCTGATAATAACATTCTCTGTAACACCTTACTTCGCATCGCGTCCCTATCCTCTGAAATTTGTAATGGCTATAATTGTCCTTTTTTTTGTTAGTGCTACCTCATTTTACAGTCTGAAGAACCTGACTTGCATTAACCTAAACATTGTTCGTCAGTCTGTCTTAGGAGTAGTTGTCTAGCCTCAATGGGTTTTTTTTTTGTACTGTAGAGTTTTGTAAAATTTAGAAATTTTGCAGAGACCTTGGAACTAGCAGTCCTCTGGTTTTGGAAACAGTTGTTTGGAGTTAAGTGGCACTGGATCCTATCCCTTATAGAAGTGAGATGCCTATAATTATTAGACCAAGGCTGAGAGTCAAAAGGAAGAAAGGATTGAGATGAAGTCGTTATATATTCAAATATGTTAACTCAGGCCTTGATATGGGGGTGATCACGGGGTTCAGGGATGCGAAATATTGAGTTAAGTACTGGGAAAGGATTTATTCAACACTTACTTTATAGCCCTTCGGTAAATTTTGATTTTTGAAGCCTGTAGAAAATTTGTCATAGTAACACTGAAATCTTCAATTTCAATTCAGATTTTCTTGATAAGATGATGTTCTAGTACCTTAACCGATTGCTTCATTTGCTTGAAAAGCATAGTGCCGTGTCAATTACATAATACTAAGTATAAGTGGAATTATTGTGGACAATAGACTTGTAGAGCGGATTGATTTGTGCTAAACTCATTATACTGATGAAACACCTTTGTTCACTGTGCAATATATTCCTAATTTGGCATGTGAACACCTGTCAGGCTGCCTCCATGTGTAAGGTTCATATTAGATGTTTCTTAATGGATCTTGAAACACGTGTTGTGGTCCGCCTTTGGAAACCCTCCTCAAAGACCTCCCAGGGCTCTTTCGTTTGTTGATAAAATTGGGGAGGGGGATAGCACAAAATCTTTTGTAGATCAGTGTGTCATTAAGATGTCTCCCCCTTTCCCCAATAGGGGGAGAGGGGGGAGAGGGGGGAGAGGGGGGGGGGGGGGGTAATACTTAATACTAATCTCTTCCATTAATTTGAAGAATTTCCCTAACAAAAATTACAAATGCAGTAACCATGAAGGTGCGGTCATCAGTAAGGAAGATGTGTGAGTTTTGCAAGGTGGTCAAACGTCGTGGTCGTGTGTATGTACTTTGCAGTGCCAAACCCAAGCACAAGCAGCGGCAAGGCTTCTCAACTTTTGCACATGAAGGGCCGCTTATAAACACGTATGTATTCCACTGCATCTTCTTTCTCTGTTTCAGTCTATATGTTTTTTCAGCTGCTGAAGTTTGCATAGAGAATTGAGAATCCTGATCAGTATTTTGGACTTTGTAACTTTGGGTAACTAATCATTTGCCTTGGCATTTCTTCTTAGTAAACAATATTGAGTCAGCTGGAAGGTTAGCCCCTCCATGTAGGTATACTTATCATAGTTTCCTATTTGGTTTGTCATACAAGGACTATCATATTTGGTGTATATACTGCAGCTTATACGTAATGAACACGTGTATTACTTGATGAATAATACTTGCAATTACTGAAAAGTGAAAAATGTGTAGCAAATGATAATGAAGTTGTTTTTAGAGAGAATATCAATTGGCATGAAGTCGAGACAGTATTTATGTAAGTTTAAGCAGCTGCCTTTCTCATATTGAAAGTGTCAACGGTGCTCTAATAACTTGTCATATTGAACATTCAGGCCTGCAGATATAAGTTCAAAGCCATTGATTTCAAACAGCCCAAGCTTGCGCATCGGTCTGGCGTCTGCTTTGCCCAAAGTACAGCAGCCTGCTGCACTGTTTGGTTGGAGGGATGCTATTGCTTCACTTCTGTTCAAGAAAGGCAACTAAGTAATTTGCAATTTTGAAAAGTACCAGAGGAATTATATACACTGAATTTTCTATTACAATTGCATAAACTTTTTTTAGCTAATGACAATTTTGTACGTATCAGCCTTAGCATTTCACCTTTTAGTATTTGCTTATTCTCTGTATGTCCTATGCTTTGACTTCTCTTGCTCTAAACTACTCATTTTATCCCAAAAATTGGAGCATTTTGATGAGAAATTTGTATTTTCTGCTTATTATATTCTTGTTGTTAAGTAAATACTACCTCAATTCTCAATATTTTGTCAACTTCTTTATGTTGTCCCTCATCATTACTTAAAAAAAATAATTATATACACTCGGGTATAAGATGTATCCAAGGATATTTTCAATTCATTTTAAAATATGAAAATGAGCACAATAAAATCAAATGAGTAAGCCCACTCTTGGATGCACCTATCTTTGTGCACCCGTGTGTATATGAAAGGTGTTGTAAAATTATTGAACTATTATATACTTGTATAATTTTGATCGTAATTTTTTTAATTACAAATATATAAACCTAAATGTCATTAATGTAATTATTATTGGGTTGATAATTTATTCATATTTTTCTCATTAACTTTTTATGATTTATTTATCTAATGTTATTATTATATTAGTTCATTTTTTAACATAAAGGTGAAACATACAAGCCTATAGCCTTGAGGATAGAGTTTCTTCTTTTATTTCTGTTAAGGTGATAAAGTAGTGTTCTTTACCTTTTCTTTTACTTTTCTTTTTCTTCTCATTTGTGTTCAACACACAAAGACTTTGAACACCCAACTTGCTCTATAAGACATTGACTCTTTCCACAATTAAAGTCAAAGATTGAAATTTCTACTTCATCTTTATCCCTTTGTCTTATACTACAATAATAAAGGTTGGATTAACATCTAAGACTATTTAATTTCACACTTAGGGTCGTCCTCTTTTCAACCTTTTCTATCTTGATAAGGATCGATTAAGATTATTGGCCCAAAATTAACTAGATCGATGTCAACTAAACTTAGTAATCTTGGAGGTGAATACCAACACTGAAAATCCAAAAATAAAATCTCAAATACATTACCGTCTTTGCAACTCTCTATACCAACACACACACTTAGGGGTGTAAAATGAGTTGAGCTGAGCCGAGCCGAGTACTACCTTGTTCATATTCAGACTTTTTAACTCAGGTGAGTCTGACCACGATCCCGAGCTTTCAAGCGAGCTCAAAAATCTGCTCAAACTCGGTTCTTTTAGTACATTATATGTCCACAAACAGTTCATGAACAACTCGTTTATAATAAAACGAGTTGATAAACAAGTGTTTCATGGACGAGCTTGATAATAAACGAACTTTGTACTTTTGAAATTTGAAAACCTCCAAAGTAGCATAATAATTAAATCTTAATTATAAACTTAATATATAAATTAACAAATGTAAATAAATCAATAGCCGTGAACATAAATAAACGAGTAGTTTGTGAAAATAAATAGACAAGTTTTTCATGAATTTATCCAAACAAGAATATATATGTTCGTGTTCAAGCTTATTTATTAAATGAGCTTCAAAATTTGTTCACTCATTTATGAATTAACAAATGAACGGGCTTTAACCAAACTCGCACCCAAGTAGTTTATTCATCAATTCGGTTCATTTACACACTATAATAATTTCAATTAATTAATAAAATGGATTACTTACAGTATGATACTTGTTGAAGACTTGAAGAAGATAGAACAGAAAACGACAACCCAATTGAACTACTCAATAACCCAAAAGGCCAAGGGCCAATCAAAACAAAACTCAGAGAATAGTATAATCCAATTAATCTCATCCAGCTATTCTACAATTGATTCAATAATCTCTGTCATCATAAAATATTTTGTCTTTCTGAATTTCAATTATTTCAAAAATTCCCCCAAAAATATAATTATCTATACTAAAACAAGCTCCATTAATTTTTTTTTTCCTTTTTTCCTGGGTTTCTTAAACCCTTTATTCATTCAATTACACAGATTGGTTTCTGGGTTTGTTTCAATGACTGTTTATGACTCGTTTACTTCTTGGATCAACAGCTTCCTTGCTTGCATAGGGTATGCTACCTTCTAATTTTCTTTCTGATTTCAAAGTTCACAACTTTTTTTTTTTAATAATTCATTTTATTTAATAATTGTAATTAATTTATGTACTGTATTTCATGATTTTATACTGTTATTCCCCTCTTGGATAACTTTAGGATATGGGTCTGCTTAAATAATTTTTGTTTTTTACATGTGTATGAATTATTTTTTTTTTGTGTTTTCACTTTTTTTTTTGGTGGGTTTACTGTTGGGACTGTAAATTTGGATTAGTTGATATTTTAGCTGAATTGGTGATGCTCAATTGCAAATGTTAATAGTTGTTAGTGTCTTTTAATGGTGATGGAGGTAGTTTATTGACTAAGAAAACTCTGGTGGCTAATTTAAGCTGCATGTTGTGTATGAAAGGAAGCAGATTTCTGATATTCAATCTGCCAAGTGCCTACTTTCATTTGCAATTTGAACTAAACTAAGTGCGATTTACCATATACTTCCTTGTGACTCTCTCAATTGAAAGATTCTTTATGCTAAAAGTTTGGCCCTGCAGGCTGCAGCTATCTAATTGCTTATGATTTAGTACTGAGAGTGTCACTCTGTGATCATGTGCAATTTGCGTAGATTGCTGATCTCGAAACAATTGATTTACAGCTTCCTAGACTGTTGTTGATAGGTGTATTTGAGCTATATAAAATGAGCACTAGAAAGGACACTACTGATTATGAGGAATAGGTCATGGTTGTTTTGGCCTAGGGGATTAACAGTTAGTTTCATGTTTGATGAAAAGCTTCCTAGGTTCATTTTTTAAACTTAATGGTGGTTTCCATTCGCGCTAATTACTTCCTGTATGTGCTAGTTGAACATTCCTGCGTTTCACCAAGTCAGAAGTACTCTAATTCAGCTGCAGTTTACATATGGGGCTATCTGCTTAGTCATTGTAGTCATGTTCTGTATTCTATAACAATTGTGGTGCTGTTTTAATTATTTAAATGATCTGTTAAGGTCAATGTTCCAATCTGATGGTTCTTAATCTTTTTGAATCTTTTTATATATCATTTTGCATTAGAGTGTAACCTATAATTTGTACTGTGTTTGAATGGCATGTTATCAATTAATTTATCACATCCGTAGGGCTACAAATCAAAATAAATCTATCAGGATTACAATCTTCTTTCTATTAAAAGTTATCTCTTTATCTGCTTCCTGCATGTTCAGTTGTTTCAGTATCAACTGAAGACAAATTGCCTTTAGAATCAAGTACTCTAATCATAAGTGCAACTTTTTCATAACTACTGTCTTAAGTTCATAACTACTGGTGTTACCTTCGACAAGCAACTTAGTATGACGTTGTGAGTCCCTTGGGAATTTCCATATATTGTGAATTTGTGATGCTTTGGTAGTTTTGGTTTGGTGGGATCTTTTTCTAGGATAGACATGAGATTTTGGCTGCTATGATGCCAGAGATCTAGATTAGCACCCGTGTCTATTTTTCTTTTGTTAAGAGTTCTAAGGAGAATCAAACCTCTGTATACAATAGCTCCCAACTCAAGGGGAGGTAAGAACCAAATCCCCAACTCCATGGTTGGAAGGGGGGAGCTCTACCATTGAGGTTCTGTTTGACTCTCACATTGTTGTTCATGTTGATTGCTTTGTCTTTTGTTTTTTGGTAATTCCTGAATTTCTTAAATGAATCCAGTATGATATGTTTGGCGAAAATTGAATCCAGTATGTGCTTGTACATATTCATGAACCTGTTTTGGACAGCGCAGTAGCTGTTTGGGAGGCTGTGCAAAACCAACTCACACTCCAGTAGATGATTATCCGACAAAAGGACTACAATGCCAGGGACAGGTGGTGGAGAAACAAAATCTTTCGGATGACTTTTGGGGTACCAGCACAGGTGATTTGGAAAACCCGATGGGTCTATCACAACGAAGCATGTCTTCACTTAGTACATCAAATGTCAGTTTTCTTTCTGATATCGGATCAGCAAGCATGCATTGCCACACTGATTTCGTAAATCCTGGCAAGTTTTTTTTTTTCCCTCTACTGGAAGCTCCTCCTTCCGTAAATCACAGTTTTTTTGCTTGTGATTCACATTCACCTCTAGGTGGGCTGTAATGTCATAGGACAATCATTTCAAGGGCTGTAAATCACAACTATCATGAATTTCTCCGGGAAAAATATTTTGATTTCTTGATGATTTCTTTTCTGCAGGTCTTCTTCTCTGGACTCAAATCCGTCTTCAGTGGATTGGAGCTACAAAATCAAATGAAGATCATCAAACCATAGGACCGGCAATCAGGTTACTATTTTTTCTAAAACACATGATATCAGTCACTTACTAGAGAAATCTACTGGATTATGTTCCTCCCCACCCCAACAACCTTCAAATGCCGCTATATTTCCTTTAATATCATTACATATACACTGCAATGAAATTAATAAAATCTAGGGGCTCAGGGTTAAGAAGCAAATGTGTATACTAACTAGAAGCAGTCTGTCTTTGCATACATCATAGTGAGCCTTCGTTTATTGTCATCTGAAAATCCTTATTTGAACTTATTGATACACATTTGATCTTACTCAACCTGAAACTTTGGTGAAAAAGAACAAAGCTTACACTAAGTAACTTGTTGAGGGTTGGTTGTTGAGTTTCTAAGAGAGTAACGAATAACTGATCATTCTTAATACATACATATGATCCTACAAAGTGTTCAGCTACAACTTTATAAGTCGTTAGCAATATGGAATATATTTTCTTACCATCATAGAAATACGTGTTTCACAGTCTAAATGCTACGTATGACAGCTTGCTTAGCTCCAGGGAGCGATTCAGGCGGCCCATCCCTTTATCGGTAAGCTTTCTTTTACAAAGATTGGCCTTTTTCCATGCCATGACTGTCAGTTAGTGCTTACAGTTACTGTTTTTGGAGTGGCAGGAAATGGTAGATTTTCTAGTTGATGTATGGGAGCAGGAAGGATTGTATGACTGAAAGATATGAAGTGTAGATAACAAATTTCAGTTTCTCGATACTTCAAAATGCGGATTCTTAGGAGAATTTGTAAGCAAAGAAGCCTTATAACCAATGTATAGATGTTGATTAACATAGCTAATTTATATACACATGTATGCTTTGTTTTTCCTACTGTAGTTCACAACGTTCGTTTCCAGTTTTGTTGCTAAATTGCGTTGTATTATGGACTGGTATATCTCAAATATGCTCTTAAATACAAACAAAGATTAATTATGCATACTGAGATGTTACTCAGAACATACATCTACATGATATATTTTGTCTAAGAACACCAAAAATCTTGTTAAATAATGCTTTCTCCTCCATTACCAATATTGAGTAGATGTGTCAATGAGCCATTTTGATAGGATTTGGTCCGATGTTAGTTATTTTGGTCTTTTGGGTTATATTTGGGCGATGAGTTATTCAATTTAGTTTGGATCCGGTCATCTTTAAATGGAATTACGCAAATTTTTCCCCCTTTCGCAATTTACTAGTGAACTAGTTCTTGATTTAGCCTAGTCCTTTCTTCGCTAGCTCTCATATGCTTCTAATTGCTCAATTATACGTAATATAATATTAATTGGGAAGCCTTTTTTTTTATAGGAATTGAGTTAAATTATAACAACCATCTTCCATTATTTAGAAAAGGCTTTATTAAAGGAATATACAAGTATAAAAGAAAATACTTAAAAGTTCAACTCACTTAACCTAAAAAAGTGACCAATTATTGTTAAGACACCTAATTAATATGGCCTAGTGTAGACAAATTTTTATAATACAATTGATATATAGGTAATTATATAGATTTTTTTTTGAAAGCACTTAATTATATAGATTATGGATAAACTTTAATTACACTTACGACTGTATTTCCAATATTTATGCCTAATTACACAAAATTTGATTTATAACATAAAAGGTTTGTTCTTAAATATTCAACATTTGTCAACACTGTATGATATACTACCTCCGTTAATTATTATGTGTAACAAAAGAGGTATTATTTGTGAAGTATAAAATTCTTTTGTTGCACATAATAATTAACGGAGGTAATATCTTTACTCGTACATAATAGACTCCTCCATAGTTTATCGAAAATGTAGCCGTGCAACGTGCCTACATCCTAACACCTGTCCTGTAAACGATCTCAACAAACAAAGATCCGTATTGTGCACTGCAAGTATAAATATTATCTACTGATGATTTTCCTCATTTACGAGATTCTAATATAAAACCATAATAAATCAAGGTAGCTAGAATAGTAGGTGATCCATTCAAACTACTGTTTTATCCCAAGAAATTCCATGAATTTGGCTTCATTTTTAAGTTTTTATCTTCCTTTTTCTTGTAATTATTTATGCAAAATATTGTTTTAAACGATTTTTTTTTAATGAAGATGTCAGTCAATAACACAGATTCTGTGATCCTGGCTAAAATTGTTTTCCTCTCTTTCTATCCTTCCAAATCACATGCCATTCTTCCTCTTTAGTCCATGCCCTACAAAAGGGCCCCACAAAATCATAGTTTTTTTTTTTTAATTATTAATTATTATTTTAATTAATTTATTATTTATTTAATTTTATATAATATTTTAATTTTATTTTTGCATGCCATATTCATGCCAGACATTCATTTCTTGTTCAATGTACATTGGCCATCGTTGTCTAAATAAATGACCCTATCATCATGCAGAATTTTGTGCTTTTTGCTGATGTAGATGATAACATTATGAATTTTTCTAAAAGAGGATATTAGATTACAAGCATTCCAACACATAGAATCAAGTCCAAAACTTTTTTTTAAAAAGGAGTTGTTTCATTTTGAAATAGGTGTCAGTTGAACTCTTAGGATAAGTATGCATTCTCAATTATCATGCAAGATAATATATAGTTGTATACACCGATGCACGATTTCACATCACATTATAGTCCTTACAGAGTTATAGGTGATGACATAGAAAGACACAAGCAATATTAATTTGGGGGAAATATATGGTTAATAGGGATGATTTACGAAAGTATGGTTATTTTAAAACTTATTTACACTTTTGCGTTGGAATGAAACTTAATTACGAAATTATTGTCCACGTAGGCTCGGATAAGTTTTTATTTTATTTTTTTATTTTTCAAAGTAAAACCGCTACCTCAAGTAGCGGTTTATGTACTAAAACCGCAACTTCAAACCGCTACTTGAGGTAGCGGTTTTACTCTTCATAAATTGTTTAAATGTATCTTTAGTACTAATGACAAACCGCTACCTCAAGTAGCGATTTTAGACTATAACCGCTACTTAAGGTAGCGGTTTGTCTCTAAAGAAAAAAATTACCCCCAAATGTATCTCCAAGCCTACGTGGACCATATTTTCGTTAATAAGTTTCATTCCAATGCAAAACCGTAAATAAGTTTCTTAAAAGCTATATTTTTGTAAATCATCCGGTTAATAGCTATTTTATAATATATATTATTTTTTAAAAAAAAAGATCTCAATTTTGCTTTATTTTGGATTTTTTTTTTTAAATTACTCCAACTTATTTAAAAAACAATATTATTCATCCATTTTAATAAACTAAAACAAATCAAAAATTGAGGAGAATATCATATCAAGTCGTTTGAGTAAATAGAATGGATGAGTGTATGAAATTTTACAAGATAAGTTAGTTGTCAATAATCTATGTGGGCAATTAATACTCCTTATCTAACCTTTTTTTTCCGATCTCTTCATAGATTTGTTACAATCAATATCACTTTCAAAGTTTCAAAGTAGTTGCATAACAATACTAATGATTAGAATATAAAAATCGATTATTTCAATTATCAGCTTAAACTTCTAATTAGTTAGTCGATCTTCTAACATATTATCAAGAGTTATCGTGATGGTTGAATTGATTAAGAAAAAATTAGCATTATCATCGACACTGACATAAAAATTATCCTCATAAAATTACTCATATCATATCATATAACTAATATATAAAGCTAAACTTTTAGTCAGATCGTGAGGCAGCGACACTTGGCGTTTCAACTTTTCGCCAAGTGTCATGCCACGTTGGATAGATTTAAGTAGACTTCATAAGATAAAAAAAATTAGTTTAGAATTCTATTTGGATAGTATTTTATGATAAAATTGTTAGTTTAGAATTTTATTTTCGATAAAAAAAACCAATATTTCAGATGTACAAATTGAATTATAATTTTATTCAAAAAATTTATTAGATTATAATTTTCAAAATTTATCATATAAATTTATTTTTTATATCATAATAATTTATTTTTTTTGAGCGGATGAAGTAGTTCAAAGCGTAAAACATCCATTTATAATATATACTAATCGATTAAAATAATATACTTCACAATCTAATAGAATTTTATTATTATATAGACCTGTCAATTAGGGTCGGTTTATGAGTCATCTCGGATTAAGTCAATTTAGGTTATAAGTCAAGAAATGTTCAACCCTTACCCAAAGTTTTGGGTTCAGGTCAATCCAACTGGTTTTGTACATTTATTTAATTTAATTTATTTATTGCTAATTTTTTTATATTTTTAATATATTAAATCGAACATTTTGGAAAGAAAGTCAATGTTCTTGCCCCTGATTATAAAAATTGTCTATTTTTCTTAGACCCACCCGCTTTTTCACGCTTTCTTGCTCAAACAAAAATTTCTCTATTAAAAGTTCGCCATAAAGAGTACATGAATAGTCCATAAGTCAAAGCGTTACGGATACAAAAGACATAATTTCTTAACATTTGTATAAGTTTCAAGTTAAAATCAAAGGAGGTAGCACAATTCACTTGACACGTGATTTTAATTCATCCAATAAAAAAAATCATAAATAGCAATAAATTTGCAAAGCAATTGAAGAAAGACGGGGAAAATACCTGGATAAGAAGGTTGAGGCCAAGAAGGAGGCTGAAATGGAGGAGAATTAGGGTTTTCCAAATTACGAAGTTAAATAACATCATCAACTTTGTTACCAATTTTGGGAACATGTAAATGCTCATTTGCCTAGAACTCTCATAAATTATCATATAAATTTATTTTTTGTATCATAATATTTTTCTGGAGTGAAGGAATTAGTTCAAAATGTACTGCATCCATTGTTTATAATATACTTCACAATCTAATACTTCCTCCGTTTTTTTATTATTGCACCATAGGGGTTGGGTGCAAATACTTTGGGTGAATTGCTATTTGCCACAATGAAATTACTCAAGCTATAGTATTAAAAGACTTTTATGCCCCTTATTATTTTGAAAATAACATAACAATCCAACCATTGCTAACTACTAACTTTGTCCTACCTTGACCATACTCAAGCCTTAGATCCACATTGATTATCAGCTCCACCACCCATACCACCACCCACCTTGACTGTCCACCACCACGACTCCACCTTAACAACAAACTTGACCGATCCCACAACGGTTGACCACTAACATTGTACTTTCCGTCCAATAAAATGAGTCGACGATTGTCTGTGTTCATATCGGAGGCACTTGGTGGGGACGACAAACCTTCGACGCCGTCAAGTCAAGTATATGTCGGACTTTTTTTTTTAATTTCCGTTGTACCCGGTTGCATGCTATATGCGACTACACCGCGGTATAGTCGCATGCTACATGCGACTACACCGCGGTATAGTCGCATGCTATATGCGACTACACCGTGGTGTAGTCGCATGTAGCATGCGACCGGGTACCATTTAAATTTTTTTTTAAACAAACCGTTTAATTTATACTAATTAACTTTTAATAATTATAAAAAATAACAAAATACACTTAATTTAATTAGTAAAATTTATTGATTAAAAAAAATTAGTAATTTTTTTTTTTGACAACGAAAATTAGTAAATTTATGGGCTTAAACAAATAACAAATTTGCCAAAAAAACAAGTAAGGGCAGATGCGTCATTCAATACCGCAACATAAGTAATTCTATTGTGGCATTTAGTAACCCCCTATTTTGGTAGTGGAAAAAAGTAAGAGAGAGAAAGGTAAAAATACAAAATTGCCCATGTGACATATTGATAAACTAAAAAGTAAGGGTGAAAAAGCAAGGGTATGTTGGGTATTTGTAGTGTGAACACAAATAATTTTTTTCCTAAAAAGGAAATGGTGTAATATTTGTGAAACTTCCTAAAAAGGCAAGTGGTGCAATAATAAAAGAACGGAGGAAGTATAATTTTATTACTGTGTGTAAACCTGTACAGGTCAGGTCACCAGTCATTTCAGGCAGGGTCATTATTTCAGGTTA